CCCCCCCCCCCCCTGTTTTGTAATTTCTGTCATGTAGATATTTTGGAATTGCAAAAGGTGGCCTTCTTACCAGCTGCAAACGGAACACGCTTGGTGGGCGCAAGCTCCCTTTTTGTTCGCTTACCAATAAACCTATCGCCTTTTGCATTTGAGCTTCCTAGTCTCTATCTACCCTTCTTGAAGATCCTTAAAGATTTGGGACTTAACGATGTGCTTTCAGTTGGAGCTGCAAAAGATATCCTCTCCAACTTACAAAAACTATGTGGTTATCGGCGTTTGAATCCCAATGAGCTTCGAGCTGTCATGGAAACTCTTCATTTTCTCTGCGATGACACAAATACGGCAAAGGCACCCAAAAATTCCTCTAGTAATTCAGATGCGATAGTCCCAGATGATGGCTGTAGGCTTGTCCATGCACGATCTTGTGTTTATGTCGATTCCTTTGGTTCACGCTATGTGAAATACATAGACACTGCAAGGTTAAGACTTGTTCATCCACTTCTTCCGGAGAGGATCTGTCTAGATTTGGGTGTGAGAAAGCTTTCTGATGTAGTAATTGAGGTATGCATAGGCATCAGTTGCTTTTTCTCATCCCTTCTTTTTTTGAATATTTTTTGTATGTGAAACCATCTCATAATACTTTCTTCTTTACGTAGGAACTTGAAAGCGCTGAACATATCCAAACCTTAGACAACATAGGGTCCATATCACTAAATGCCATCAGAAGGAAGTTACAGAGCGAATCGTTTCAAGCTGCTTTATGGACTGTGAGCCGTCAGATCACCACCGTGGATGACTTATCTTTTCAAGATATCCAACATTCTCTTCAATCTGCTACAGAGAAAATCCAATTCGTCAGAAATATATATACTCGATTTCTTCTCCTACCAAACTCCATTGATGTTACCCTCGTGTCTAAGGAGTCAAAGATTCCCGAATGGGAGAGTGAATCCCGTCATCGAACAATGTATTACATCAACCGTCACAGAACATCTATCCTTGTCGCTGAACCGCCTGGATACATTTCTTTCCTGGATGTCATGGCAACAGTGGTGAGCGAGGTTTTAGGATTTCCAACTTCCTTGCCTATAGGATCTTTATTTTCATGTCCTGAGGGATCTGAAACTGAAATCTCCGCTTGCCTTAGACTATGCTCTCATGCTCTCACCAACACCGGCGCAGCTGTTGATAGTACCGTTGGCCAAGAGATAATGCCGCAGGATGCTGTACATGTACAGCTTCATCCTTTGAGACCGTTCTACAAAGGGGAGATTGTTGCTTGGAAAATCCAACAAGGAGACAAACTTAGATATGGAAGAGTCCCAGAGGATGTTCGACCTTCTGCAGGTCAAGCCCTTTACAGATTTAAAGTTGAAATGACACCTGGAGAGACTGGTTTGTTACTTTCATCTCAAGTTTTCTCCTTCCGAGGCACGTCAATTGAAAATGAAGGTCCCTCGACGTTGCCTGAGGTGGCCCCTGCAGTATCTGATAACAAATCTCAAGGGAATGCAGAAAGTTCTAGAACTAACAAAGCAAGTTCTAGCCAGGTTTGTTACATATCTCGTGAACTATACTTGTTTCTTGCCTTATCTTTGTATTATCTTATAATCTATGTTATACTAGGAGACAAAATGCCTACTGTTCAATTCAAAAAAAAAAACAAAATGCCTAGTGTTTTGTAGTTTGATATTGTATCATGTTCATGCTTAAGGTTAAAACTAATATGTGTAAGATTGATTGGATTTGTTTTTTTGGTCACCTGCAGCCTGTGAATGAAACGCAATATGGACGAGTCACAGCTAAAGAATTAGTTGAGGCGGTCCACGAGATGCTCTCTGCAGCTGGAATCAATATGGAGCTGGAGAATCAATCATTACTACAGAGAACCATAACCCTTCAAGAAGAACTCAAGGACTCTCAAGCAGCATTTATACTTGAACAGGTTCGGTTACAATAAACTCAAAAACACACATATTATAAGCATAATGATGATGATAGCAAAAAAAAACATGTCCTTGACTCTGATTTTCTTGCAGGAGAGAGCAGAGGCTTCCTTGAAAGAAGCAGAGACGGCGAAATCACAATGGGTTTGCAAGATATGTCTGATCAAAGAAGTGGACATAACCATTGTACCATGTGGACATGTCTTGTGTCGGGAATGTTCAGCTTCAGTCGCTAGATGTCCTTTTTGTCGTCTTCAAGTCACAAGAACCATCCGAATCTTCCGACCATAAACAAAACCACTTTAAATATCATCATATATCAATCACTATTTATCCAAAAGGTTTTGTCCTCTCTATACAAACAGTTTCTGCTAATTCGTTAGCAGCTTTGTATATAGTACGTATAGCTTATGTTTTCCGCTGTGTCTTATTTAAGTTATGAAAGTATTATTCAAGCAGCTATCAACATGTCTCTTAGCAAAAAAATAATCATGTTGTCTCCAATTTTAATTTATTTCGATTACGGAAAAATTTAAAACTTTCTTGAGGTTGTTACCTCTGAATTTTCTTGACAAAAGATGAGTACATGCAGTAACTTGGTGAAGAAGATTTCGGTTTTTTGGGCTATTAGTGGACCTAATTTGTTCATGATGGGCTTACAGTATCCTAATGTTCACACCAGAAGAAAGTAAAATGACTAATGAATCATATCTCGACACGTGCTGGACTACGTAGACGTTAGATAACCACCACTCAGATAAGAAGCAGAGAGAAAGCAAAAAAGGATATGTGGCGGGAGATAGAGATTGAGAGAGAGAGTAAAAACTTCAATGGCGTCTCTCCAACTCTGCGACGGTTATCTCCTCTCTAAGCCCTCTGTATCTCCACGACTCCGTCTCCCTCAACGAATCTCTCACCGTTTCATCCCTAAAGCCTCCGCTTCTCCTCCTCCTCCACCATCTTCATCTTCTTCATTGTCTCTGACTCGTCGAGATCTTCTCTACCAATCAGCGGCAGTATCACTCTCCTTTTCCTCAATCGTAAAAGATGCTAAAGCTGATGAACAGTTATCAGAATGGGAAAGAGTCTTCCTCCCAATCGATCCCGGCGTATTTTCTCGCGGAATAAGGGGGAGTATCAAGCGACACTAACGTGGGTGTCAATAGTTCAGAAATCATCTCCGACTTGTTCTTTTCATGTTCATGCTTCCTCAGGCCCTATATTGTTCCAAAATATCCAAAACGTACTTAGACGTGGAATGACTCTAATACAACTTTAAAACATACATATATCATGGTCCGAAACTGGTAAAAACAATGATATATCAGTAATGAGGGGAAATTTTTGTATGTTACTGTTTATTTATATTATGAGTTTTGATTGTCATCTCTTATTTAAGAAAGCTGATAATTAAGTTCTATGGTATTTAGTTCTGTAAGTTATTAAATGAAAATTTTCTCTTTTGTGTTGAATTAATTTGATTAAATTCGTCGATTCAAAAAACCAATCTCAAACGACTCGAAATCACTAGATTATACGAGTCAGGTTTCTAAAGGTTACTTGAATTTGTAGATTGAGCATAGTTATCAAACTTTATGCTGCGGAATGTTGGTATCAACACTAAACTAGCGTCAGCTTCAATACCGGTTTGATCAAATAAAATTTTCCAACCCAATGGAGCAGAGATACTTGTGTATCTTAAAGAACAGATGCAACAGCTCACATGACATTGCACAGGATCTTGTTATGTGTGTGTGTGTGTGTGCAACCTCATCCTGTACATGTTGTTGAACAACCTAGTTACGACAAGGATGATAAAGGTATGTCTGCCAAAGTTTTCAACACTAAAAAAGTCTATGATGATGAGAATTATGAAACAGATTCCGGTGTATGAACATTTTTCCTCAAATCGTGATAATGTGGGTACGTGATTATTGCAAGCGAATATGTTTATTCTAAGGTAAAAATATGTTCAAGGATTACATTAAGAAGATATCTTATACTGAGAAACACACATTAAGAAGATATCTTTTAGTTGAATCAAACACAAAATAAATTTCCATATGTTAAACAATAAATGGGCGACATTATAAAATTGTGGGAAGAATTAAGAACGCAACTATCTAGATAAGTCAGTGCTTTAAAAGGTGTTTTAGGCGGTACATTCTCTAAAACCATAGCGATTAGTTTATAAACCTCCTAGGTAATTATAAAATATTAATAGTAAATAATACACAATTTATAAATTATAACATTTAATATATTTAAATATAAAATTATAAAACTAAACAATATGAGTATTATTATTCCTAATCATGATATTTAACATATTACAGTATATATATTTATTATCTTATTTTAATTGGTAAACGCCTAGACCGATTAACTAATAATATAGATGTCAAAAGAAACGTTCTACACGATAAGCGTTGAATCCCCGTACGATTAGCGCCTAACGCTTTCTCGAACAATGGATAGATTTATCAATCAACAGATGTTTATTTGAACTGAATAGAAAATTGGAATAACATAATAATACATATATTTATTAATTCGTCAAACACTAAAAATATGAGAAATTATAGTATTGTCTTTAGTCTTTTTTATCACAGATATTTGAATATTAATTCACAAAGTCTTTTGTCTTCTTCACATCGATCTCTTTTTCTGCTTGTTATCCACAACAACAAAAATCACAAAGACATAACAAAATGTTAGCAAAAAAAACATAAGCGCTGAATAAATATAATATAACTTTAATTTTTTTTTTATTATTTCTAACACTTACTCGGATCTTGAGCAGAAACACAGCGATGATTAGCACAATTGATTTCATATGGTGGTGGCCCACATTGTGCTTCACATCTAGCGAAACATCCGAGTTTATCTCGTATTGCACTACTGATACACACGTTATAACAAATCTTGAAACAATCTCCCCAACGTCTGTTTATAACTTCCGATTCAACTAAAAGATTTCCGATCGTAAGCATCATCACCGTAAATACAATCATTCTTTTCATCTCCATTTTCTTAGAATACAAAGATTTTTTTTCTCAGAAAAGGGAGGGGAAAATTTATCTTTATAATGGACCTAACATTTAGTTATATGTTATGTTATATAGTTTTTATTATTAGAGCATTAAACTCTTTAATAGATCTAACATTTAGTCATATGTTGTATTATATAAAATATCACTAATAATTAATGAACTTACTATAACTTCACTAAGACAGTTATAGTAGTATATATGTTTCCAAAAAATTAATAATTAAATTTAAGTCTAGGCAATATAACATTGAATACTAATTTTTAATAAATCTGCATTAATTTTGTTTTAAATTATTTAATAAATCTATCTTATTAAAACGACACTAAAAAAAAATTTGTAATACATTACATAAATAGAGTCACAAACATAAATGATATTATTTGAATTATTTATTAGTAAATGATACAAAATATATGTTGTAACATCAGTTGTGATAAATGAGTTGGTTATTAATTTATATGGTATCATTTCAATAAAACTGATACAAATCTATATTAATTTACATCACTTTCAGGATTTGATACAAAATATAAATTCACATCAGTTAAATAATTGATACATTTAATTATTTGTATTAGTATTACTTAGCAAAATGATACAAAAGTAAAGTAGAACATCTATAAATTAATTCTCGATAAATTAATACACTAAATATCACTATAAAATAATGTAATTTTATAGTCTCAAACTGAGTTTTTTGGTTTAATTAGTATATCGATAAATTAATATCTCTCTAAATTAAAAAAATTAAAATTTTATTGTAGTCTTAACATTATTAATTTATAGAGATTTCACTGTAACATCAGTTTGATAAAAGATGCAAAGTTGATAACACTAATAAAATTATACTAATAGAATTTAAATACTAATATGTACGTAAGTCATTTGTTTGTTGAATAAATTTAATCCAGAACTTATTTATAATATAAAATACTCACTATTCATCATGCTATTTAAAAAAATAAAAATTTATATATTTAATTTCTTATAATATCTTTTACACCTTTGATAAATAATTCACAAAAACTTTGAATTGGTTTGATAAGAAATTTAACTAAATTGATGACTTGAATTGTTAGAATAATAACTAAATATTTTGTATTAATAAATATAATTAAATTCATATTATTTTAAATAATTATATACTCATAATTATTTCTGGTTTTTAGAATTAATATGCTTGAATTTCTTCAGAATTATATAATTGCAGAAATTAAATTTATATTTCTTATCATATTTTTTGTGTACACCATTATGACTTTATATATTTGTTTCCAAAAATATTGTAGTATCCCCTATTTTATCTCACCCAATAGATTTAGCAACACCAAACAAACTTAATATAAGCTACGATCAGTTACATATTTTTTCACAAAGTCATCTTCTTCCACATAGGCAGTTCTTTAAAGGTGTTTTCAACATAGTTCACGACATTTCTTAACTTTTAAGCAGTTTAAACAATAATTTCTCGACTGTTTGATTTATAAACAAGCAACAAGAATCAATCATTTTTCTTCTGAGTTATAAATGTATTTGTCTTATGCTTGATTTGAAAGAAATCTAATTTTTTTCTAATATTATCTAGAGGTAATAAATTCTATTGTGCATCTTCTTCTAGTTCACTTTTGTAGGAAACTGCAGTTATTTCTTTTTGTTTATAGTTTACGAATCCATTTTTGTTGGAATCCATTATTTTCATAGGAAAATATGAAGAATCTCTTGCAAATTAAAAGGTGTAGAAGTCTACATGGAAAGCGGTTAATGGATACTTTACTGATTCAATCCAGTTTCTCTTTACAATGAAGCTTGAAGATGAAAATAAAGAAAAAGATTTGGTTTTAACTATTGTACATTTTTTTTCTGCATTCATCTTTTTCTTCTTCCAACTTTTTCATTCCTATATATATTTTTAATTTTTTTTCTTGTTCTTCAGATTGTAGTTTCAATAGAAAAGAAATAAGAATTTTTTTATCGAAATGTATGTTAATCCATTTACTATCATTTTAAAATAATCTAAATCGGTTATTATGAATTATATAGGTATTAAAATTAGTTTTTTAAAATTAAATTTACTTCAGTATTGATAAATGATAGTAATAATTAAAATCATATTTTTAATCGATACTAAACTAACATCATTTAGAAAATTGTTGTAAATATTAGGGGTTGATTGGTTGGTACTATAGCTTTAGATTTTTTTTTTCTTTAGAAAATTGTCTGTTAGTTTTTTTTTGCTTTATCTTTACTATTTTCTTTACTGTAGATTTATTTTAACAAAAGCTGTAAAACATGTTTTGAAAAGTTAGCAAATTTCATTTTCTAACATTTTTTTGCTGTAACTTGTTTTTTTAAACTAAAACATGATTGCTTTATAAAAATGCTTTAGAAAGAAAAATGGTTGCCTAAAGCACCTACAACCATTGCCAATCAACCCATTAATATTGTTTTCTTAAAATTGATACATAATTACATCAATTACTATAATTGATGGAAATATTAAGTTTTTTTAATTAGTTATTTGTATAATGATGTTAACTATTTGCATCACCACTTTTAAAATCATTTATATAAGTGATGCAACACATTAAACAGGGATTAAAACATTAAATAATTTAGGAAAAATGTATAACTTTTTTTTGCAAGTTATACGACAAAATAATATTAAATTATTTAAATTAATATATGATTTTATTTATACTTTCATAAATACAAATTTCATTCATTTAATTTAAATAAGCTTTCATATTTAATTAAATAATGTTACTTTATGTATATTTTTGCTGGCTCTTAAAAGTTTCCACTTGATTCACCAATGTTGCATGCTGTCATATTTCTTTTTCAGGATGAATTTATCCGCAGATCCACCGGGTCTGTTCCTGGTTTCACAAAAATTCTCTAATCAAAAGTGTATCTTACTAATTTTCCCTTTTCTATGAAAGGAGATAACCTTTCGGATAATTTGCCGAGTCATAAATAAAAATTATCTACTTTTTGTGATTTTATGTAGCAGTTTGGTTGAGACTATTTCAGTTTTCTTCATAGGTGCGAGCTGTCTCTCAACCCCACCTTTATATGCAACTGTTTCCAGCTTTCTGTTTTTTTTTTGTTAAAGTCTTATTTACCTATTAAAGCTTTGTCTAGATTCCGGCATGATTTTCTTATGAAAAANATAAATAAAAATTATCTACTTTTTGTGATTTTATGTAGCAGTTTGGTTGAGACTATTTCAGTTTTCTTCATAGGTGCGAGCTGTCTCTCAACCCCACCTTTATATGCAACTGTTTCCAGCTTTCTGTTTTTTTTTTGTTAAAGTCTTATTTACCTATTAAAGCTTTGTCTAGATTCCGGCATGATTTTCTTATGAAAAACTATCTTTGTTTAATCTATTTTGTTATTATCATTTATGTTCCAAATTAAAAAAAGAAAGATGAATAATTCCTTCAAATTATTGTAATGGCAAGAATCAATTTGTTATTCAAAACAATAATATTAAACCATCAACATCATTCAACATTGTGTCACACACACACGATAACGAATGTGTTATACAAAATGATGTTGAATTAGAGATTATTTCATTCTTTTTGCTTTTATTATTGAATATGCTCAAACTAACGTTAAACAAATTTTATTATTGAATACAGAAATCGTACTTAGATCCAAAACAATTATAAATAAACAAGTAGAAAGCTTCTCCTACTTGTTATTTTCATGTTCATGCTTCCTCAGGCCCTATATTGTTCCAAAAGATCCAAAACGTACTTAGACGTGGAATGACTCTTATACAACTCTATATATAGATATATGACTTCAAAACATACATATATCATGGTCCGAAACTGGTAAAAACAATGGAATATCAGTAATGAGTTTTGGGAATTTTTTTATGTTACCGTTTATTTATATTATGAGTTTTGATTATCATATCTTATTTAAGAAAGCTGATAATTAAGTTCTATGGTATTTAGTTCTGAAAGGTATTAAATGATAATTTTCTCTTTTGTATTGAATTACTTTGATTAAATTCGTCGATTCAAAAAACCAATCTCAAACGACTCGAAATCACTAGATTATACGAGTCAGGTTTCTAAAGCTTACTTAAATTTGTATATTGAGCATAGTTATCAAACTTTATGCTGCGGAATGTTGGTATCAACACTGAACCAGCGACAGTTTCAATACCGTTTAAGCAAAAAGAAATTCCAACCCAATGGAGCAGAGATACTTGTGTATCTTAAAGAATAGATGCAACAACTCACATGACATTCCACAGGATATTGTTATATATATATATATATGTGTGTGTGTGTATGTGTGTGTGTGTGTGTGTGTGTGTGTGTGTGTGCAACCTCATCCTGTACATGTTGTTGAACACCTTAGTTACGACAAGGATGATAAAGGTATGTCTGTCAAAGTTTTCAACACCAAAAAAGTCTATGATGATGAGACTTATGAAACTGATTTCAGGGTATGAACATTTTTTCTCATTTGTGATCGTGTGGGTACATGATTATTGCAATCCAATATGTTGTGACATCAATTGTGATAAATGAGGTGGTTATTAATTTATATTGTAATTTCAATAAAACTGATACAAATCTATATTAATATACATCATTTTCAGGATTTGATACAAAATATAAATTTACACCAGTTAAATAATTGATACATTTAATAATTTGTATTAGTATTACTTAGAAAAATGATACAAAGTAGAATCATTTTGATAAAAGATGCAAAGTTGATAACACTAATAGAATTTAAATACTAATACGAACGTAAGTCATTTTTTGTTAAATAAATTTAATCCAGAACTTATTTATAATCTAAAATACTCACTATTTATCATGCTATTTGAATAAATAAAAATATATATTTAATTTCTTATAAGATCTCTTACACCTTTGATAAATAATTCACAGAACCTTTGAATTGGTTTGATAAGAAATTTAACTAAATTGATACCTTGAATTGTTAAAATGATAACTAACTATTTTATTAATAAATATTATGAAATTTATATTGTTTTAAATAATAATATACTCATAATTATATCTGCTTTTTAGAATTAATATACTTGAATTTCTTCAGATTTATATAATTGCAGCAATTAAATTTATATTTCTTATCATATTTTTTGTGTACACCATTATGACTTTATATATTTGTTACCAAAAATATAGGTGTATCCCCTATTTTATTTCACCCAATAGATTTAGCAACACCAAACAAACTGAATATAGGCCACGATCATTTACATATTTTTTTCACAAAGTTATCTTCTTCTTTTTTTTTTTTAACACTGGATAATCATGCATTACAAATTATGAGAAATATTACATAGACGATATTACAGCCGACAATTCTACCTGCCTTATGCGGATTCACGTCTGACTGCATCATCCTGAGCCGCCCTATGAGATCCATTCCTGACGGTACGCCTTGCGCCATGCTGAAGATCTCCTGTAAGCGTTCTTCAATCTGCATAATTCGCCATTTATCTTCTTCGGGAATTAAAACCCTCTTGGTGTAAGAACTGCGTAGCCTAGGATTCGAACCCCAGATCTGGTGTAGAAGCCTTTAAACCTTAACCACTAGGCTACGGTGCTTCCACAGTTATCTTCTTCTACACACACAGTTCTTTAAAGGTGTTTTCAACATAGTTCACGACATTTCTTAAGTTTTTAGCAGTTTAAACAATAAATTCTGGACTTTTTGGTTTATAAACAAGCAACAAGAATCAATCATCTTTCTTCTAAGTTATAAATATATTTGTATTTTGCTTGATTTGAAAGAAATCTAAAATTTTGTAATATTATCTAAAGGTAATAAATTCTACTGTTCATCTTCTTCTAGTTCACTTTTGTAGGAAACTGCAATTATTTCTTTCTGTTTATGGTTCACGAATCCATTATTTTCATAGGAGAATTTGAAAAATATCTTGCAAATTCAAAGGAGTAAGTCTATACATGGAATGTGATTAATGGATACTTTACTCATTCGAGTCAGTTTCTCTTTACAAGATGAAAATAAAGAAGTAGATTCCGTTTTAACTATTGTACATTCTTTTTCTGCATTCACCCTTTTCTTCTTCCAAGTTTTTCAGTCCTCTGTATATTTTTAATTTTTTTTCTTGTTCTTCAAATTGTATTGTCAATAGAAAAGAATAAGAATTTTTTTATTGAAATGTATGTTAATCCATTTACTATCATTTTAAAATAATTTAAATCGGTTATTATGAATTATATAGATATTAAAATTAATTTTTGAAAATTAAATTAAATTTACTTCAGCTACAAATAAATGATAGTAGGTGAAGAAAAACTGTTAGTTTTTTGCTTTATCTTTAATTTTTTGCTTTAAATTTATTTTCAAATCACTTAAAAAAACTTGTACAAAAAATTTCTTTGAAAAGTTAACGTATTTGATTTTCTAACTTTTTTTGCTGTAACTTTTNAATTAATTTTTGAAAATTAAATTAAATTTACTTCAGCTACAAATAAATGATAGTAGGTGAAGAAAAACTGTTAGTTTTTTGCTTTATCTTTAATTTTTTGCTTTAAATTTATTTTCAAATCACTTAAAAAAACTTGTACAAAAAATTTCTTTGAAAAGTTAACGTATTTGATTTTCTAACTTTTTTTGCTGTAACTTTTTTTTAAAAAAAAAAACTAAAGCAAGATTACTTTATATAAATGCTTTAGAAAGAAAAATTATTGTTTAAGGCACTTACTGCCATTGCCAATCAACCCCTTAATATCATTTTCTTTCAATTAATACATATTTCCATCACTTAAAATTATTGATTGGAAATATTAACTTGTTTTTAATCAATTATTTGTAAAATGATGTTAATTATTTGCATCACCACTTTCAAAATGCTTTAGAAAGAAAAATTATTGTTTAAGGCACCTACTGCCATTGCCAATCAACCCCTTAATATCATTTTCTTACAATTGATACATATTTCCATCACTTAAAATTATTGATTGGAAATATTAACTTGTTTTTAATCAATTATTTGTAAAACGATGTTAATTATTTGCATCACCACTTTCAAAATCATTTATTTAAGTGATGTAAAACTATTTTGAATCATTTTTAACTAATAAAAATATTTAAAATAAATGATACTAAGCCATTTTTTTTTGTAGTGTAATAACATTTTAGTGGATCTAACATCTATATGTTATGTTACCTAACCTCTTTTATTAAAACATAAACATCTTTATTATTAACATAAAAAAATTAATGGATATAAGATTTAGCCATATGTATAATATATCACAAATGATTTTCGAAAATACAATTTATTCACTAAAATGATTATAGAAACAACATTATAGTGCTAGATATGCTTCCAAGCAACTCAATAATTACATTTTAGTCTAGAAAATATAAAACATTGAAGCCCACTTATTAATACTTTTTATTAGTTTTCTTTCAAACTATTTGATAAATATATCTTATTAAAAAATATTTTAATGGATCTAATATTTAGTCATATGCTATTATATATAAACCTCTTTTAATCAAAACGGAATCATTTTAATGATCCTAACCTTTAGTCAAATCATATATTATATAAAATATCATTAATAATTAATGAAAACAATATAGCTTCATTTAGATAATTATAGAAACAACAATATATATGTTTCCAAACAAAAATTTATTAAATTCAAGCTTAAATAATATAATATATAATCCCCCTTTTTAATAAATATTTATTATTTTTCTTTCAAATTATTTGATAAATCAAATAATTAACTAAAACATTAAATAATTTATGAAAAGTGTATAACTTTTTTTTGCAAGTTATACTACAAAATAATATTAAATTAATTAAATTAATATATTATTATACTTTCATAAATACAAAATTTCATTCATTTAATTTAAATAAGCTTTCATATTTAATTAAACAATGTTACTTTATTTATATTTTTGCTGGCTCTTACAACTTGGTGAATCCACTAAATATCATAAATTATAACATTTAATATATTTAAATATAAAATTATAAAACTAAAGAATATGAGTATTATTATTCCTAATCATGATATTTAACATATTACAGTATATATATTTATTATCTTATTTTAATTGGTAAACGCCTAGACCGATTAACTAATAATATAGACGTCAAAAGAAACGTTCTACACGATAAGCGTTGAATCCCCGTACGATTAGCACCTAACGCTTTCTCGAACAATGGATAGATTTATCAATCAACAGATGTTTATTTGAACTGAATAGAAAATTGGAATAACGTAATAATACATATATTTATTAATTCGTCAAACACTAAAAATATGAGAAATTATAGTATTGTCTTTAGTCTTTTTTTATCACAAATATTTGAATATTAATTCACAAAGTCTTTTGTCTTCTTCACATCGATCTCTTTTTCTGCTTGTTATCCACAACAACAAAAATCACAAAGACATAAAAAAATGTTAGAAAAAAAATTGTTAGCAAAAAATACATAAGCGCTGAATAAATATAATATAACTTTAAATTTTTTTATTATTGCTAACACTTACTCGGATCTTGAGCAGAAACACAGGGATGATTAGCACAATTGATTTCATTTGGTGGCCCACATTGTGCTTCACATCTAGCGAAACATCCGAGTTTATCTCGTATTGCACTACTGATACACACGTTATAACAAATCTTGAAACAATCTCCCCAACGTCTGTTTATAACTTCCGATTCAACTAAAAGATTTCCGATCGTAAGCATCATCACCGTAAATACAATCATTCTTTTCATCTCCATTTTTTTAGAATACAAAGATTTGTTTTCTCAGAAAAGGGAGGGGAAAATTTATCTTTATAATGGACCTAACATTTAGTCATATGTTATGTTATATAGTCTTTATTATTAGAGCATTAAACTCTTTAATAGATCTAACATTTAGTCATATGTTGTATTATATAAAATATCACTAATAATTAATGAAATTACTATAACTTCACTAAGACAGTTATAGTAGTAGATATGTTTCCAAAAAATTAATAATTAAATTTAAGTCTAGGCAATATAACATTGAATACTAATTTTTAATGAATCTGCATTAATTTTGTTTTAAATTATTTAATAAATCTATCTTATTAAAACGACACTAAAAAAAAAATTTGTAATACATTACATAAATAGAGTCACAAACATAAATGATATTATTTTGAATTATTTATTAGTAAATGATACAAAATATATGTTGTAACATCAGTTGTGATAAATGAGGTGGTTATTAATTTATATGGTATCATTTCAATAAAACTGATACAAATCTATATTAATTTACATCACTTTCAGGATTTGATACAAAATATAAATTCACATCAATTAAATAATTGATAAATTTAATTATTTGTATTAGTATTACTTAGGAAAATGATACAAAAGTAAAGTAGAACATCTATAAATTAGTTCTCGATAAATTAATACACTAAATATCTCTATAAAATAATGTAATTTTATAGTCTCAAACTGAGTTTTTGGTTTAATTAGTATATCGACAAATTAATATCTCTCTAAATTAAAAAAAAAAATTTTTATTGTAGTCTTAACATTATTAATTTATAGAGATTTCACTGTAACATCAGTTTGATAAAAGGTGCAAAGTTGATAACACTAATAAAATTATACTAATAGAATTTAAATACTAATATGTACGTAAGTCATTTGTTTGTTGAATAAATTTAATCCAGAACTTATTTATAATATAAAATACTCACTATTCATCATGCTATTTAAATAAATAAAAATTTATATATTTAATTTCTTATAAGATCTTTTACACCTTTGATAAATAGTTCACAAAAACTTTGAATTGGTTTGATAAGAAATTTAACTAAATTGATACCTTGAATTGGTAGAATGATAACTAAATATTATGTATTAATAAATATAATTACATTCATATTATTTTAAATAATTATATACTCATAATTATTTCTGGTTTTTAGAATTAATATGCTTTAATTTCTTCAGAATTATATAATTGCAGAAATTAAATTTATATTTCTTATCATATTTTTTGTGTACACCATTATGACTTTATATATTTGTTTCCAAAAATATATAGTATCCCCTATTTGATCTCACCCAATAGATTTAGCAACACCAAACAAACTTAATATAAGCTACGATCAGTTACATATTTTTTCACAACGTCATCTTCTTCCACATACACAGTTCTTTAAAGGTGTTTTCAACATAGTTCACGACATTTCTTAACTTTTAAGTAGTTTAAACAATAAGTTCTCGACTGTTTGATTTTTAAACAAGCAACAAGAATCAATCATTTTTCTTCTGAGTTATAAATGTATTTGTCTTATGCTTGATTTGAAAGAAATCTAAATTTTTCTAATATTATCTAAAGGTAATAAATTCTATTGTGCATCTTCTTCTAGTTCACTTTTGTAGGAAGCTGCAGTTATTTCTTTTTGTTTATGGTTTACGAATCCATTTTTGTTGGAATCCATTATTTTCATAGGAAAATATTAAGAATCTCTTGCAAATTAAAAGGTGTAGAAGTCTACATGGAAAGTGGTTAATGGATACTTTACTGATTCGATCCAGTTTCTCTTTACAATGAAGCTTGAAGATGAAAATAAAGAAAAAGATTTCGTTTTAACTATTGTACATGCTTTTTCTGCATTCATCTTTTTCTTCTTCCAAATTTTTCATTCCTATGTGTATTTTTAATTTTTTTTCTTGTTCTTCAGATTGTAGTTTCAATAGAAAAGAAATAAGAATTTTTTTATCGAAATGTATGTTAATCCATTTACTATCATTTTAAAATAATCTAAATCGGTTATTATGAATTATATACATATTAAAATTAGTTTTTGAATATTAAATTTACTTCAGTATTGATAAATGATAGTAATAATTAAAATCATATTTTTAATCGATATTAAACTAACATCATTTAAAAAACTGTTGTAAATATTAGGGGTTGATTGGTTGGTACTATAGCTTTAGATTTTTTTTTTGCTTTAGAAAATTGTCTGTTAGTTTTTTTTTGCTTTATCTTTACTTTTTTCCTTACTGTAGATTTATTTTAACAAAAGCTGTAAAAAATGTTTTGAAAAGTTAGCAAATTTCATTTTCTAACATTTTTTGCTGTAACTTGTTTTATTAAACTAAAAAATGATTGCTTTATAAAAATGCTTTAGAAAGAAAAATGGTTGTCTACAACCATTGCCAATCAACCCATTAATATCATTTTCTTAAAACTGATACATAATTACATCAATTACTATAATTGATGGAAATATTAAGTTTTTTTAATCAGTTATTTGTATAATGATGTTAACCATTTCATCACCACTTTTAAAATCATTTATCTAAGTGATGCAAAACATTAAACAGGGATTAAAACATTAAATAATTTAGGAAAAATGTATAACTTTGTTTTGCAAGTTATACGACAAAATAATATTAAATTATTGAAATTAATATATGATTTTATTTATACTTTCATAAATACAAATTTCATTCATTTAATTTAAATAAGCTTTCATATTTAATTAGATAATGTTACTTTATTTATATTTTTGCTGGCTCTTAAAAGTTTCCAGTTGATTAACCAATGTGGCATACTGTCATATTTCTTTTTCAGGATGAATTTATCCGCAGATCCACCGGGTCTGTTCCTGGTTTCACAAAAATTCTCTAATCAAAAATGTATCTTACTAATTTTCCCTTTTCTATGAAAGGAGATAACCTTTCGGATAATTTTCCGAGTAATAAATAAAAATTATCTACTTTTTGTGATTTTATGTAGCAGTTTGGTTGAGACTATTTCAGTTTTCTTCATAGGTGCGAGCTGTCTCTCAACCCCACCTTTATATGCAACTGTTTCCAGCTTTCTGTTTTTTTTTTTTTTTTTTGTTAAAGTCTTATCTACCTATTAAAGCTTTGTCTAGAATCCGGCATGATTTTCTTATGAAAAACTATCTTGTTTAATCTATTTTGCTATTATCATTTATGTTCCAAATTAAAAAAAGGAAAGATGAATAATTCCTTCAAATTATTGTAATGGAAAGAATCAATTTGTTATTCAAAAAAATAATATTAAACCATCAACATCATTCAACATTGTGTCACACACACACGATAACAAATGTGTTATACAAAATGATGTTGAATTAGAGATTATTTCATTCTTTTTGCTTTTATTATTGAATATGCTCAAACTAACGTTAAACAACTTTTATTATTGAATACAGAAACCGTACTTAGATCCAAAAAAATTATAAATAAACAATTAGAAAGCGTCTCCTACTTGTTATTTTCATGTTCATGCTTCCTCAGGCCCTATATTGTTCCAAAAGATCCAAAACGTACTTAGACGTGGAATGACTCTAATACAACTCTATATATAGAAATATGACTCCAAAACATACATATATCATGGTCCGAAACTGGTAAAAACAATGATATATCAGTAATGAGTTTTGGGAATTTTTTATGTTACCGTTTATTTATTTTATGATTTTTGATTGTCATATCTTATTTAAGAAAGCTGATAATTAAGTTCTATGGTATTTAGTTCTGAAAGGTATTAAATGATAATTTTCTCTTTTGTATTGAATTACTTTGATTAAATTCGTCGATTCAAAAAACCAATCTCAAACGACTCGAAATCACTAGATTATACGAGTCAGGTTTCTAAAGCTTACTTAAATTTGTAGATTGAGCATAGTTATCAAACTTTATGCTGCGGAATGTTGGTATCAACACTGAACTAGCAACAGTTTCAATACCGTTTAAGCAAAAAAAAATTTCCAACCCAATGGAGCAGAGATACTTGTGTATCTTAAAGAATAGATGCAACAACTCACATGACATTGCACAGGATATTGTTATATATGTGTGTGTGTGTGTGTGTGTGTGTGCAACCTCATCCTGTACATGTTGTTGAACACCTTAGTTACGACAAGGATGATAAAGGTATGTCTGTCAAAATTTTCAACACCAAAAAAGTCTATGCTGATGAGACTTATGAAACTGATTTCAGGGTAGGAACATTTTTTCTCAAATCGTGATCATGTGGGTACATTATTATTGCAATCGAATATGTTTAATCTAAGGTAAAAATATGTTCAAGGATTACATTAAGAAGATATCTTTTAATTGAATGGAACACATAATAAATTTCCTTATGTTAAATAATATATGGGAGACATTATAAAATTTTTGGAAGAATTGAGAATGCAACTATCTAGATAAATCAGTGCTTTAAAAAGTGTTTTAGGCTGTACACTCTAAAACCATAGCGATTATTTTATAAACCTCCTAGGTAATTATAAAAAATTAATAATAAATAATACACAATTTAGAAATTATAGCAATTAATATATTGAAATAGAAAAATTATAAAAATAAAGAATATGAGTATTAATTCCTAAACATGATATTTAACATATTAAAGTATATATTTATTATATTGTTTTAATTGGTAAACACCTAGACCGATTAACTAATAATTAAGACGTCAAAATAATCATTCTACACGATAAGCGTTGAGTCCCCATATGATTAGCGCCTAATGCTTTCTCGAACAATGGTTAGATTTATCAATCAACAGATTTGTATTTGAACTGATTTGAAAATTGGAACAACCTAATAATACATATATTTATTAATTCGTCAAACACTGAAAATATGAGAAATTATAGTATAGATTTTAGTCTTTTTTTATCACAAATATCTGAATATGAATTCACACAGTCTTTTGTCATCTTCATTTCGATCTCTTTTCC